GTTTTTTAAATCAAGCTTTATTTTTAATTACTCTATTGATGGAAAACTAAACTCAAGTCACTATTGTTAGGATATTTATGAATGTCAATCCACCATGTTGTGTTTTTATTTTGTATTATCTCAGTCTGCATTAAAGACTTATATTTCCCTAGGCCCACGTGAGTGCTACCATTAAACTCCAGTGTAAAAAGGTTAACAATGACTCATGAGAGGAACATTCTCATCTACTTAATGGGTTTCAAATTATTTTTAAGAACGGTGGAGCCTCATTATAGATAATCCTTTCAAACCCATCTGTCTGCATTGATTTTGGCCGATTCAGAAAACTTGCTTAACTACATCTTAATGCCATTTCCCATCAGTGCCAAGCATTTTCAGTCAAATAATATGCACCTATTCAAGAACTTAACAAAGCAAAGCAGTACCTTTCTCCTTTAGTGCACATACGTTTCACAAAGTCCAATCTAAGGCATTGGAGGAGGGTAGCAGTGAGGTTAGTCTTGATATAATTGGAGAACACAGTCCAGTGCACCAATTGTCCTCGTCATCAAAGGATCAAAGTTAAGAGACTATTGTTTTTCTTCAGTGGCATTTGACTTAGTGGACTTTCTTGCCTTCATTAAACTAAGTAGACAGATTATGTTTTCAGCATGAGCAGGCAGACTGAACTAAACTCAATTGACCTAAGGTAGCGCTTGTATAATGAGCAGGCTCAGTCCAATGTTCTATTATAACCACACTTTTACATTCTGGTTGAAACAGGGCACATATACACTGTCCCAAATGTCAAAGAGTCACTACATGTGTACACTATGTGCCTTTTTTGAAGCCTGGTACAGATTCTTGTACAGCAAAATTAGTCTTTCTGCATTCCTTTTTTAAAAGTTAAAAATAAATACACAAATGTATGTAAAGACAATGCATATGCAAATAAAAGCAAGTGCACACAAGCATTCAAGCAACACTGGTGATACTTAATTCAATGTACATCTATATCTATGCAGCACCATTTCCATGTTTATTTCTCTTCCAGTAAGACTTAAAAGATTATTTTAATATATTATAGACCTCTTTTCTGATTGCATGTTGTGAATGTTGATAGCAAAAAGATGCCCTCAGCCTCTGTTTTGTATTTGCATGACTGAGTTTGCGTGTGAGCGGGGTTTGTACTTGTTTATTGCCTAGCATCACTTCAAAGAAACACCACTCCCTCTTCCTGGCTGTAGCCTCTCTGCTCCTCTCCTGGTAGTGCTGTACATTCAGCACTGCTGGCCAGAAAGATACCATTAGTGTCTGTATTCTTCTGTGAATGCTAATCTGCTTTCCTCTCTCTCTGCAGTGGTGTCTAGGGGGGTTAGCAGTCAGCCATGGATACCTCCACCTCCCTGAAGATGACCTCTCTGGCTGTTCAGAGTCTGTTCAGCTACGTGGAGGAGGAGAACCTCGCAGCCATCAAAGCACATTTGGACAAGTTCAAAGATGTGGACAGCAGGAGTGATGTAAGTCAGCATTTCATAACAATGCTCTCGCATGCTTCATTTATCTATTTTGGGAGCAGTATGGAGTAACAAGAGGCTCTTTGAGATCATGTAACAAGTGTTTTGTAGGAGAAGACATATTAAAGCTTTAAATAAACACTGCAAAGCCATTTGCAAAGAGAATACACAGTACTTGATATTGTGTTCTGCTTATGGAGGTTTAACATTTTCCTTTTTAATTAGTGATGTAAGAGATGTCTGTTGAGCAATGTTAAAAAAACCATTTCATTTAATTGTGTAAAGGGATGAACAAAACATATATATATAATGGGTCTAATTAATACACCTGATGTAATGTAGAAAGTTGAGATGGGTATGTGGAAAGCCAAACCTTGATATACATTTTTTTCAATGAACCCCTATTGTCCAAAAACTATGAAAAAGCACCATCAGCCCCACTGTTGTACACACTGACTGTTCCTCCATTTCCATGACTATGGGCAGTCGACACATACAGTTTAGGGCTCAACGCTAACTTTTAAAAGTGGTTGCCAGGCTGGCAACCAGGCATCAGCTTTTGGTTGCCAAAACTGAAAATACGGTTGCCATTTTTAGTCACCTTATATTTTAAATAATTAAGATACTATACAGTTATACATCAACTTAATAATGAACATGTGACACAAAAGAATGTTCAAATGCTTTACAATAATAAGTAATTAACACAATTATTTGAAACTTAAGTGGTAGGAAACTTGTCCACCCTCAATTGCTGGTATACAAAACACCAGTAGTGCAGCTGTTGTTCTGTTCTTAACAGATCACTAGTTTCTTGGCCATCCGTTGTCTGTCGGTCGAACGCACTTATTGTAAGTCGCTTTGGATAAAAGCGTCAGCTAAATGCAATGTAATGTAATGTAATGAAGTCTTGGATTGGCCAGACTAATACATTTATAATATTAAATAAATGAAAACCATTCAAATTTAAGAATTAGATATTATTTTTTACTGCTGTAAATTACCTTTTAATATGTCTAACTATATTTAAAATACCTTTTTATAGAAATGATTATATTTTTATGCCAATATTTTCTTATGGTAAAGTGTTGTTTTATTTTGGTAGTAATAAGATCGGGACTATTATTTTGAAGGAACTTTTACCGGAAGTGAATACACAACGGAGCAGACTTTACACATATCCTCTTAGCTTTTCGTTCGGGTTCCCCTTACGCTTTATCAGTTGAATCACTTTGAACATTAGTTTGAGATGTTGACGGGTTAGCCGAACTTTTTACCCCACAGTCAAACAACTTAATTTGCTTCGCCATTTTTGTAAAACAAACACACGGCGCACCGAGCACGCGAGTAAATGTGCATCGCTTTCTGGCTCCGTAATCACACCAATGCACGTGCAACTTAAGTATCAGGTTCCGACTGGTCACAACAATAATTAAATATCAGTCTTAATTAAACAAATAATTAACATTTATCTCTTTTGAGGTGCACATTTTGCTGTTTGCTGTCTTTATTTCTCTATGTTAAAACTGGTTGCCACTGATGGCAACCAAAGGCCAAGAAGTGGTTGATTTTTTCTGAATGATTGCCAATGGCAACCGTTACTGTCGAGCCCTGGGATATAAGAAGTAGATGTGTCTACAACCAGGGTGGAGGAGAGCTGTCGACTGAAAAGGAGTAACTACAAAATACAAAATGAAATCCGGATAATACAATGAGAGGAAAAGTACAAGTAACTACAATGTAGTGAACGAAAAATACCGATGGATTTTTGTCCCTTCACTTAAAAATATGACTCCTTTGACACGGAACCTTATAAATATAATATAAAAAGTTATAGCGGGTGGGGATCACCCACCGAAATCTGAAAAAGAAACAGAAAACCTTGACGACACTCTTTTTTACTGATAGTCTCTACATGCAATAGAAACTATTATAAAGCAGAGGAGTAAAAAGCAGTTTCTTTCATTTCTGTCTAAAACCGTATCAAAAATAAATCATTCGATGTAAAAGGAGCAGTGAAAAGCCAGTTGCTATAACGTACTACTAAAACAATGTCCAATAACAAAATGACGGTTAGCCACGGCAGAGCAGTAACAGAGCAAAGCAGTACTTTTTTTCCAGCAACTGCTTGGTATAAAGCAGTATCAAAATCAGTTGCTTTAATTGTGATAAACTCTGGGGTGACTCTACTGAACCTGATTTCAAATTTGATAGATCTAGAGTCTCAAAAAAAAAGGGAAATGGACTGCTTCGGAGAGNAATCTTTCCTTGGTTTCCTGTCTGTGTGTGTGTTCCCTCCTACCTGTTCCCTCCTACCTGTTTACTTGATTGTTTTCACCTGGTGCCCCTGTGTTTTCTCCTCCCTCCTCACCTGTCTCTTGCTTCGTTGATTAGTCTTGTGTCTTTTTAAATTCTGTTTCTGCTACCTGTCATTGTTGGTTTCTCGTTTGTCTGAGACTGTGTTCTCAGGGTAGTGTTCTGTTTTTTGTCACCTACACCTAGCAATAAAGGTATTTTTCTCTGTTCAACCTGCATTTGGGTCCTGCCTGTTTCACTAACCCTAACATAAACATTTTTATTTTCCTTTTTTAATTGGGTAACTATTATCCTATTTGTGCATACAATCTAGCTTATGGCGTATTTCCACTACAGGGCCTTGCACGGCTTAGTACGGTATAGTTAGGCCTTGGTAGGCCAGGCTCACTTTATGCTGCGTTTCCATTACAGTTTAGGAACTGGGACAGTAACTATAGTAACGCAGTGTAGGCGGAGCCGTGACGTCATCTTCAATTCGAAACACAAAACCAACATCAGCCGTTAGCTGTTAGCCCTCAGAGCTCACAGCTCCTCATATCTGTTCAGAAACAAGACAAAAGTTAAGTACAAATCACAGACTGTCTATCTCATGGTGAATACAGTTGCTGGTTTATTTATGTCTGCAGGCCGTTCTTGTGAGTGCGGACAGTCGGAGCATATACCACGTTAACTTAGCCAATCTCCATTCAGAAAACCCGCATTTTAAAAGGTTTTTCACCTGCTGTCTGTCTGCAGACTTATCAAAGCATTAATTCATAGTTTTTACTAATCGGTATCAGTATGTTGTTACTTCGGCATCATTTTGAAACGTGTATTACAATTAAATCACGGTAAAATATGTTCATTTTGTTGTAGTTGCCAGCAATTCTCTCACTAGTTTAGCATACTCAGCCCGGTTGTTGGCCCGGAACGAACCTCGATTTTGGAGTGCCAGAAAAACTAGCCGGAACTACGCCTAGTGGAAACACAACCAAAAACGGGCACGGCACGGCTTAAACCGCGCTCCGCACTGTAGTGGAAATGCGCCACTAGTGTATTGTAATACCAGAGTGTACTGCATGATACAGCCCAGCTGTGCTGTGATAGGCTAGTACACATTGGTGTCATAGGTTTTTGTGCATGTAAATGGTCCACAAGTTCCCTCCAGAGTTTCTAATATTTTGACTGTGTTGTATTCTCTTTTTCCAGCCACACAATGTCTCTCAATGCCTCCTTTCCACTCCTTAAGCCTTCCAAGAATGACCAGGCATCAATTAAGGACGCTGAAGCCATCATGAAAAACGTCTCCATGGTCCTCTACGCTCTGACTGTCCTCCTTGGCATCCCAGGGAACTCCATGGTGATCTGGGTGGTTAGATTCAAGCTCAAGGTGGATTCAAAGAGTATTACGAGTTACAAATGTATAAAAATGAAATATTTTCCTGAAGCTGATTGTCCTATTCTTGTTGTGTCTGCTAAGGATCAGCTCAGTGCAAACAAGAATTACAAACTAACTTTTAACATGTCTATCTACCTTTGAGTATGAGCATAATACAAAGCAATATCCAAGCAGTTCATCTGTTTTCCTCTTTATTGACTTTTATTATTGCTTTGCTTCTGTTTTTCCTCCTCCTCAGCTAAATGTAACCAACGTTTGGCTGTTGAATCTGGCGATAGCGGACTTGATCTTCTGCATCACGCGAATCTTCTCCCTCACCAAGAACCTCTTCTTCGACCACTGGCCATTCGGCACCTTCATCTGCAAGTTCAACGGCTTCTTCAAATACGCCAACATGTTCTGCTCCGTCTTCTTGTTGGCTGTGATCAGTCTGGACCGAGCCCTCTGCGTCTGGCATCCCGTCCTCACCAAGCGGCGTCGCACCATACGGGCCGCCAAGGTGGTGGCTTTCTGCATCTGGTGCTCAGCGATTATCTTTAGCACTCCATACTTTGTCCACCGCAAAGTCTACCTGGGGAAGAACAACCTGAGCAAGTGCTCTATGGAGGTGAAGGAGGGGAACACCATTGCTAAACCAATTATCTACTCAATCCGCTTCCTCTGTGGCTTCATGATACCTTTCCTGGTCATCCTTATCTGTTACATCCTTACCGCAATTGGTATCCGTCGAACCCGCCTCAAAGGGAAGTCCCGCCCCCTGCGCATATTGGCATCATTAGTTGCTGCCTTCTTCCTCTGCTGGGCGCCATACCACTGCCTCCTGCTGGTGAAGATGGTGGACAGTAAGAACGTGGTGGTGAAAATCTGGCACCCTGTGGCGAAGGGCGTCGGCTACTTTAACAGCTGTGTGAACCCACTGATGTACTTCTGCATTGGGTTGGGAGTGAGGGGGCAGTTCAGGCAGAGTCTGGCGGGGGTGTACAGGAGAGCTCTGGCGGACTATGGGGAGGGACAGGTGACCCAATCCCACGACCAATCTCTGGATGACAGCAGCGGGTCAAAGCACAGTACTGCCATAGTGGCAGGAAGCAGTCTCATAACAGTGGAGGTAGCTAGAGTTTGAGTCTCTCCCAAAGTTTCCTGTATTACTGGTGGTTTTTATTATTAAGTCACACTGGAATTACAGTTGGAGTGTCGTTAGCAGTCTGTGATTTAGATCAAATCTCTCACATATGTTTAGATCAGCTAACTAATTCATAATTGGATCGATACAATTATGATAACCTCCCCTCTAGAGTTAACACAAATGACACATATTGATTATGACAGAACATAGCAGAAACAAAAAGAAGGTCATTTGTTACGTTTTTATGTCTTTTATAAGAGATTCTACTGAAATATTCTGTACCGTAAGGGAAGTCATTAACACCAGCATCCCCGGTTGTCATATATGCTGTGTGGCTATATTTTTTTAACAGGGCATTATTTTTGAAAATATCCACCAAGAAAGTCTAATCTACTGTTTATTGTATGTTCATATGTATAGAAGTATTCATAGTACTTGTTCTTGCAGACCATGAAAGTTGAATTAAGTGCCACGGCGATATATTAGAAGGTAAAAAGGTTGGTTATAGTAAAAGGAGTAGTATAACATTTTTAACTGACTTTCTCTGTATTTGTATCAGTGACGTGCGGTGAGGTTCATGGCTGGTGAGGCACTGACTCTTTCAGAGTCAGATTTACAAATATTATATTTTGACCTTAATCGAAATATTCGGCTATTTTCAAAAGCTTTTTTAGTCTGATGCTTCGATTCATTTTAAACAGACAAAAGGATACCCAACATCTAAATATTGGATTGTTCTTTCTTAGTAAGATCCTATTTTCATTACAATTGTGGTCTTACCTTGACTTGAAGATGAAGTCCATGCTATCCTTCTGGGGCCGTATTCACAAAGGATCTTAGGGCTAAAAGTAGCTCCTAACTGGCGAATTTAGGAGAAACTCCTAAGCATNATTTTCATTACAATTGTGGTCTTACCTTGACTTGAAGATGAAGTCCATGCTATCCTTCTGGACAACAATCTCTATTACTTTTTTGTAAAAGTCCTCCTTATCTTCCTGTCATTTGAAAAGTCTAGCTTGTTGTTCGTGTCTACCGTCTCTATGTAGAATAACAGTAGCAACAAGAACCTGTGGGCTCATGTGCGCCCCCTTCAGTGCGGCAGAGGTAATGGCTGCCTCCCCTGGTGCTTTTTTCATTGCCGTTGTATGATGAGACCAGCGAGCCTAAATATCATATATACGTGAAAAAAGTTATTTAGAGACTATGGATGGCGAGGACAAATGTAATAAAGGGATCTACAAACAATACATTGATGACATACAGTGAGATGGTAACAGGCATGCGCTTAGTGCCCGCGCTCCAGCCAGTTTCTGTGGGGGTGACGCATTCTGAGGTGAGGCAGAGCTCATCTGTGCCTCACCTCACCCCACAGTAACTGGCTTGAGCGCGCTCACAAAATAAGTGCCCGCGTTAAATTAGTGCCCGCGCTCCAGCAAGTTACTATGGGTTTACGAGAGGCAGAGCTCGTCCCTGCCTCACTTCTCATCGCTACCCGTAGTTGTAGCGGAGCTCGGCAAATTTGCTGATTTTGACTTTAAAAAGCGATTGGAATCATACATAAAGCACATTTACAACACAGATCAGTGGAGACATTTTATTATTACTATTTAGTTTTTCTTTAGTTGTTTTTCCGTTACATTGGAGTATGACAGGGGAGTCTCTGCCTCTGACCGCACGTCGCTGATTTGTATATTGGTCAAAGCAATCCTATGTCTAAACTGAAGACCTCATGATGAAGGGAATCATTGGATCGATGTTGATGTACTGAGATCGGATTCACAATTTCCTGTAAACTGTGTTGTGATGTTTGTTATTTGAGTCACAGATGAAAAGTGGAACTGTGGTATGTCTGGAGGAATAGGAAAGACGAGAGGGGGAAGTGAGACTATTCAAAGGAAAGCCAGTTATAAATTGACACTGTCCTTTAGTGAGGGGTAACACCGAAGGAAAGATGAAATGAAACTGTACATTAAATCCACTTGAAAAACTAGAAGAGCTAGAGTGCAGATCTCTGCCATGTGTGTCTGACAACAGGGCAGGTTTCCAGGTTAACTTTTCCAACACCAGCCCAAAACTGTCCCACAAGAGCACGGAAATATATTTTTTTAATTTGAGGAGAAACCCTTCCAAACCAAAAATGTGGTTTCTCTAATTTGTAATCCACCAACCAACCACCAAACCAAGTGGCTTGTGTTCTTTCAAAGCAGGCCACTTAATGAGCTGGTTTCTTACAGTAAAACACAGCTAAAAAACGACAGAATATGTCGTCAGTTCAGAAGTTCCGTTAGCTGTTAGCTGTTGCTATTAGCACACACACCATAGAGTAAAGACAGCACCAGTCATGATGGTTTTAAACAGACAATAAAATACGTTTTTCAAAACATTTGAATCATCACAACCACGAGAAGTCCTTTAACATACAGTGATGAATAAGTATAACACATATTAGTCTTATTGGTCCAGTAATATGGGAGATTGGTCATGGAAAAGGAGGAAATGTAAAGCTAGGAGCGAAAGCAAGATGCCTTTGTGTCATTTGGTTTATATGCATATTTTGTGTTCTACCATCAGAAACGCTCAAAAGGATTTCATGAGTGTAATTGTATTCTCTGTGGGCAGATAATTTGTTTCTGTTATGGGACACATGCATATGGAAAATAATAAAGTCAAACCTTGACCAACACCACAAACATCAGTCCTTAGCAACAGGCTCATAAAACACAGCAGTACCAGCTCTTCAGATTACTTTCACCTCACTAAGATACACATATATGCAATGACGCTGTTTGTCTTTAAAGGTTTTATGGTACTTCTGTTCTGCTGAGTACTGTAGCAGCAGTATTATGATGAATTTCTGAAGCTCAAAGTGTTAGACATTGATTTAAAGTTCACAGCATAGAGGAATAATCAGCTTATTTCACACTTTTTTGTTGCACATTTCTTTTAAACATCTGTATCATATAATCATAATGTATTACTTTGTAAATACTACTGTAACATGCAAATATCAAGTGCTTTCACATATTTTTATTGTGCAAAGGTGTCAAGAAAGAGGCAAAAAGCTGCAACGTTACACGTGATGGTGGTCCAAGATAATTTAAAGATTTTTGTAGAGTTTTACTTTTGCTGTCTATTCGCTGGCTACGGACACCCAAGAGCATAATTGGCATTGTCACAATATAATAAATAAAAATAAATGTTTTCAAAGATTTCAGTTTGGTAATTTTATCTCCAAAACAGCAACTTGCTGCTTTGTCTGAGTCTAAAACTCAATGAATTTAATTATATCTGCTTCTATAGTACATAGTCTTCAAGAAATTAGTTTGTCTCTTGGTATGAAATGTGTCGTAAACTTTTGGTATAATGTAAGTACATAGCTCAGCAACATAAATGGCTTGAGGATGAAACCGTCTTCGTATTTAGTCATTTTAAATACATTTTCTTCTGAATTAGTACAAAATAACATTCTTAACAGCATACATTAAATAATAGTTTCATTAAAAACACATCATATCATTCATTAGTAATCCTGTTTTAAACAATGACTTGTATTTATCTGTTTCAATTGAATATATTGTAAGACTAATAAAACTAATATAAAGTGTATTTCATGTTAAGATTAGTGTCATACAGCAATTTATGTTCATGTCAAAGTTAATGGACCAAACAAGTGAATACATTAATATTCAAGACAAATAAACCAGAGAAGTTCATCATAAAGAGCTTTAATGACAAGAAATACATGACACATGAAATGTCAATCAATCAACCCGTAAATAAACCTTAGATGTAGGGATGTTCACAAACCACCTTTATTGATTATAAATTAAATTAAAACATTTGTCGCTGTTTTTCATACTGACCAGCAAAACATTCCTCCATTTATTTAAAAGACACCTGTGTAACAGATATTTTTTTCACTTATAATTATATAGATCAAGGCAAAAATAGGCCCAAAAGGCCAGGTTTTTAATAAAATACCCATTAATTTTCTCTTTCTTACATTGTTCATGTTGTCCTTCATAAACATGTAGTAAAATCTTAATATTGTATTAAATGTTGCTGAGTTAAAGCAAAAGATTCACAGGTAAATTGTTTTTAGGGAAACACAAGTAGCATAACTTCAGGTCCTTAAATTAAAACATAGAAATACACAGTGTTACCAGCAAGTGTCATCGTTTTTTGTTGCATTTGACACTTGGTTTAGGGTTTCAGTAGAGTCCATTTCATCATGTTGTGAAAAAGTTTTATAAATATCATAAACTGGGATAACATTATGTAAATAAGATAAAGTTAGATTATTTTAGATCATATTAAAAGCATTTGCTTGTTTCCAAGTGCAAAACAGTTATTGTTGTTGTTGTGTTGGTGTTGTTCATCATTGTTTTACACCAGTGTTCCACTTCTGTTGTAGGTCCTTGAATACATAACATGTGGTTTTGTATTATTATTTACTGTGATTGGACTATCAAATGAAGTCCTTTTAGGAGTCTGGGCAAATTGCATGTTGCTTGTCTCTCTTGTTTGTCATGTCTTGCAAGATTATTGTATAAAATGTATGGCCACAGTTACGGTATATAAATACAAGATATCGCAATAATATGTAAATTATGAATTTTCTAATAAAAAAAAAAAAAAAAAAGATATGGCTTGTTCCTGCGGTGAGTGTTCTGCTCAGTCTTTGTTAACAGTTTAGCCTTGAAATAAAGGAGTTATTTTTGTCACTTTAATCTGCATTTGGGTCCTGCTTCCTACACACACCATAACAGTACGAACCGACCAGAGATATGGGCTCAGCAGATCCTATTGAGCAGGAACTATTGGATTATACCTTCTCTTTGACTAACTGCGCTAATCGATGGATGGGAGCGGTCAGGGTTCAGCAGTGAGAGGCTGCTCTGGCAGATGCATGCAAGATTACGATAGACAATCAAGATTTGGTTAAATTCTTACCTGCCTGGCTTTTGGATTACCTCACGGTTTGTTTTCCCATCCTGATAGACCCAGGTCTCCCAATTCCCTTTTTGATACCACACGCATCGGTGTAGTCCGTCTGGCGTCAGCCCCTGCTTCTTCCCCAGTCGTCTGGCTTTTGGAGGTCCACGGAGCCTCCAAACGGCTCCTAAAAGAAGGAGTCGCAAGGCCAAGTTAGCAGCACGAGCCCAAGGGCCATGGTTCCAGAACCAGTTCAGCCCCCAGCAGCCATGGTTACAGACCCAGTTCTGGCCCCAGCAGCCATGGTCCTTGCTCCAGAACCGGTCCACACAGCCATGGTACCGTGCTCCAGTACCATCCCACACTTCCATGGATTCGTGTTCCGGTACCTTGCCGCAAGGTACCGGAACACGAATCCATGGAAGTGTGGGATGGTACTGGAGCACGGTACCATGGCTGTGTGGACCGGTTCTGGAGCAAGGACCATGGCTGCTNGACCTCCAACAGGACACGGGGAGCTGGAGTGGGTCGGAACACCGACAGGACACGAGGAGCTGGAGTGGGCCGGAACACCAACAGAACACGAGGAGCTGGAGTGGGCCGAAGAGCCGGAACGTGAGCCAGAATCATAGCTGCTGGGGCCGGCAC